TTTAACGTCATTTGTTGGTCAACATCGGTATCGTCTCTCCTGCTTTAACACTCGTACAAATGATTTGCAAAAATGACGTTTTTACAATGATAACATTAGCGTCTGTGGATACTGAGCTGTGAGTTATGTGGACGCTAACCCAACACTGATCAATGGCCTTGCGATAGGTCAACCACCAATCAGGAGTTATCGCGTCCCATGACGTCATGTAATGCAATATCAGGACCATCGATAGTGTCAACAACATTTCGCGAGGTTTTACTGCCATGCATCAAGCCAAAATAGGAAGATTGATGGTCAACATAGATCGATGTAACGTGGACCGAATTGACGTCACCTTTACGACATATGACGTCACTGATGTATCCTTATTTATGACGTCACAGGACCATGGTGGTATCGCTGGAGGACTTTGAGGGCCGACTGAACCAGGCGCTGGAGAGGAACGCCTTCCTCGAGTCTGAGCTGGATGAGAAGGAGACGTTGAGAGAGATGGTGCAGCGGCTTAAAGACGAGTCCAGAGGTCAGTCAGGTCGAGAGGTCAGAGTCCAGAGGTCACTGAGGTCATTTAGACGTCACTGAGGCCTCACAGAGGTGAGTGAGGCCACAGAGGTCAGCTAGAGGCTGCACAATAGCCGAAAAGTGGCCGTGCGATACTGCAACAAACGTGAAGTCTTTATTTATCGTTAATCGTTTATTTGTCAGTCAGTCAGTTGGGTACAGGGATCGCAATTCATATGTGGTCGAGAGGAAGTGTAGCGACTCAGGAACTTTGACCCTCCCCTCAGTACCTAGCCCCACACCTGACCTCCCCCGTAAGTCGTACTCGTGACCTGACCTGACTTGTTATGTCTCGTGACCTCCCATTCCCCAGACCTCTGACAAACACAGGCGACATCTCCTCACCGGCTCACCTGATACTACCTTTGACACTCGGACCTCCATCAGGCACGGTTGACCCAGGGTATATTGAGTGAAGGGTAGGACGAACTTTGGTAGGAATTTCTAGTATATCTACTAGAAAACCTACTATATGTGGTCGGGACTAGCAAAAAGTTAGTTCAAACTAGAATATGGTAGCGCTTATGGTTGGCAGTTGTGACGCGCACGTGACATTCATTTCTTAAATTTCTAAAATAACAGGTTTTAGGGGCCGATTAGTGGGCAGATACATTCAATTAGCTATTAATAATTGATTATGCAAACATTCAAGAATCTACACCATTCAATTCTAGCCAAAATCACGCGGCGCTCCCAGGATTCGAACTCACAACCCTCGGATCCGTAGCCCGATACGCTACCGACTGCGCTACCGAGGACCGCGCGCCGGCGATCGAAGAGGCGGATCGCGGGTGCTGGCGTGCAGAGAAATCTTTACCCTGTACGCCGTAGAAGATCGGCTGGGTTTCGTGAAAAATGGTAGAGGAATTGTCGAAAGAAAATTCATCGATCTATCATTTGAGACTAAGAACCATTGATTCCTTCAAAGGTTGACCGAGATATCGCTCGCTGAAAACAGGCCATTTAACCTGTAAACCCTATGGGCTGGTAGGAAATGTACGCCGTGGAGCAGCAGTGCTACCAACTAACTTCGGCGGGGGCCGCGGTTGACCCTCGTCCATCTTTTCATGGTCTGACCTCGGACTTACGACATCCACTCCCTCGGACCACTGTTAGTGTTATCTGCTAAGGGTTTTGACGTCCCCTTACCCAACCTTACGTCTTTCTTGACTCGTCTGTCGTGACCTGACCTGACATGACCTGACCCATGACCTGACCTGACCCATGACCTGACCTGACCCATGACCTCCCCCTCAGATCTCCGCCAAGAGCTGGTGATCCGCGAGCGTCACGAAGCTGACGACCAGGAGCCCGACAACGAGCGGTCAGCAGTGGACAGCAACAAGCGGCTGGAGGACGGACCGGACGGCGGGGTGCGGCCGGTGGCGCCGCCTGTGGCGCCCACAGCCACACCGGCCGCCCTCACTGCCAACACCACTGCTAAAGGTGGGAGGGAAAGGGAGAGCAGGGAGGGAGGGAGGTAGTGGGTGGGTGAGTGGGTGAGTGGGTGAGGGAGAGTGGACTATAACAAGATAGAGAGTTGAAGAGGGATGGGTGGATACGTTTGGTCACGTCTCTATTTGAGGGATGACACGTATTTTTCGAATAGGGAACCCAAGTGTTCAATGTATTCAGTACTGTATACAACGTAGCAGGCTAGTTTTTTATGTGCTTCTTTTTCATCGTCATGTCGTTAAAAGTGGCACACAGGTGTTGAGTATAGTGTGGATACCGACGACGGTGTCTTTAAGGATCGATTTAGTATATCATTTTTGTTCATCCAATAAAGTTGTGTTATTGACCAGCGATTTAAACATAAGTGAGAATGCGTCAAAAGGTTGTCCCACTCCCATATTGTTAGGCCGTCAATTTTCAAGCCTCTCATATTTTACCCATATAGTCACTTGACTGTTTTCCCATCCCCTCATAGTGCCACCGGCAGTGGGCGAGCAGCCGGCCACCAACGGTCACGTGGTCGCTCCCTTGGACGGCGGTCCCATGACGCCTTCGTCACGGATTTCGGCGCTCAACATTGTCGGCGACCTCCTGCGTAAAGTCGGGGTAAGACCGCACTTATAAATTACGGCACGATTGTGGCCGTCCTCAAAATGGTACATTCGTTGTAGTAATGATGCTGGTTTTTTATTATTGTGCTTTTCAAATTATCTGCGCGTTCACTCAGCTTAGCTAACTGAGCTACCGTAGTAGTTTTTGTTTGGTGTTTGGAAGCACTGCACATTAGTTTCACGGGTTCTGGTGTATTATACCCGCACACTAGATGGCATTGTGTTTAGTTTGCACGTCGCACCGCAATTGGTGAACAGGTAACTCTTGTTCGGCGTTTATTTATGCGCTGTCTGTTAGCGAATAGAGGCTCGTGATTGTGTCACATAATTAGAATGTCCTTTCCAAATGGCCGTGCCTAATGGAATCCGTATTCCGAAATGTACTTCCTTATTCCTAAGCTGTATATAAATGCAAACCTAGTCAGTTCCCTACTGCAGGTTTTTTCTTCTTTTGAAACTTTTTTTCCGGTTTTTGTTTACGGCGTTCAATGAAAAAATGTGTTTATGAACCCCTTTCACATTTTGTTTTGCGGTGCTTCTTTTACTTTCGTAGTTTTGCCTCGGTATTTAGGGCCCTTTTCTTCTGTGCTCTGTCTCTTCTTTCTTCTGTATTGCATTTTCTTCTTTCTTTCTTTTTTCTTTTTCTTCTTTCCACTGGGGCACAAAACGTTCGGTTTACACAACTGCTGTTTTATTGCTAATATGCACCTGTCTTTTTGTTGGACTCTCGCTACCTCACCCTCGAGAGGTCCCCATCCTTTCTCCAGTCTTGCCTATGTCTGTCAAACACCAGCCCTCACCTATCACCTCATTTCGGATCTGAGCTTGTCCCATGGTCGGTCACTTTGTTTGGCTCAGTTTCTGCAGGGTACTCCGTGCTGAGGCGAGCCTACGCAACCGCCAGCTTCACCTGCTTTCAACTCTTCTTTATATTCAGCTCCTTGGATCCAGATCTTCGTTTTCATTTTTCCATCATTTATTTTATCGACTTTCTCGCTAAGGCTGAAATTCATTTCATACATTTACTTATCGGCACCGCGAAAGCTCCTTTAGACGACCTTTTGTTTCTACTAACAGAAAAAAGCTTTTGGGGTCTACGGAGTCCCTTCCGAAATTTCAACCACACTCTCCTCCCAGCTCCCTATTCAGACCTGTGCCCTGTGTCCGTCATTGGCCGGTGAGCTCTGACCTCTCCCCGTGTGTGTCTGTGCCCCTCCGTTCTAGTTGGACCGCTACATGTGTAAGGCGTGCGGCAAATTCCGCTGTGTGTGTATACCGGCCCAGTAGTGGGTCCCGCGCGGCCCGCTCTTCTCAGGTCTCAGGCTGTGATCAGGTCAGAGCGAGCGGCGCCAACGCGAGCCGCCGAGCCTCACTAACGCCGCCCTGGTGGCCTGGTCTGGAACTAACGCACGCGCGTGGCTGTGCCTCCAGCGCTGGTTGGGATTTGATTCGGAGCCTCGCCTGGCGCGGGGTGGATTGGATAGGATATTTACAGTCATAGGCCCCCTTCAGTTCGTGTGTGACTAGTCTCATGGCTAAAACGGTGATCCTGGTACTTACAGATCCGACATTGATCTTTCATAGAGTATCCTGGTTAATCTGTGCTGAGTCCTTCCTGGGGTAGTTTTCCATAGCCCTTCAGTCTAACAGCGACATATGAGCTGGCTGTGTGTGGCTAGTTCTACTCTGTCCTGTGCGATCCTGCCCTGTCGCTTCCCGTCTCATCCCGTCTTATCCTATCCCATCCTCGTCTAAAACACGTTCCCTTCCTACGCTATCCTACACGCTAAAATTTAATGTATCCTTATCGAACAATTCCTTTCCAGATTGTGGGCGCCGATGACCATGACTGTAGTCCGGGCGCCCAAAAACCCCAATTCATCATCATCATCATCATCATCATCATCATGATCCTTTCCAGCTCGGTTGACTCCCTCCCTCCTTCTACCAGCTAATCTCATCCAACTTCAGATCACGTCTAGCTGGCCAGCAATTCTGCTGCTGTGAATCGAGTGAAGTCGTGACTAACCCAGTCATTCTTCGTGAGCGGTCGTGAAGAAGGCATAGCGTGCTTGGTGGCTTTGCTTTGTTTGCCGTGACCACTGACCATTGTCTGTCTTGCTGGCGTTTTTGGGGCTTGATTTTGTGCATCTGTCTCTTTCTGTGCTTTTCTATTTTCTTTCGCCGTGTTTCTGTTAACTTTACGTGCGTCACATTTTCGAGTGTTTCAAACTGTCCTCTGATAACTTTTCAGCTGATTAAGTTGATCCGCCCATACTAACCTACGGAGATGATTGCAGGATCTTTGGCGTGTGTTGTCTTTACATTAAACAATGGCGGCAAAAATGTTAATAATTAGAATATCGATATCGTAGATAAAGCAAGAAGTCAATAACATCGCGGTATGATCGACCGTGAGCTTGCATCTAAGTATTTGGAAACGGTATTGAACACGATAATTTATCTTGAATGCTACCTAACCTGAATCATCGAAATCAACGTACATCAATCAGTTCAATGTAAGATATTAAGACAATGCGTCCTAGACACCCTGAGCCCTGGCTTGTTGGAGAAAGAAGTGTATGTTCTCATTTATGACAGTTTTCAACACCTTCCACGTTCTCGATTTTCCCAAAGCGCAAGCAAAATGCCGATATGGTACGCGATCTATGCGCCTGCGTACATCACTTTCCCTTGATTGCCAAGGTATGTCTGTTTGTAGGTGTGTGCGCCTGTATGTCTTACGACATTTCCCGTCCCCTCAGGCGCTCGAGTCCAAGCTGGCCTCGTGCAAGTCGTACGTCAAGGACAACCCGCGGCCGCACGCGGGGCACGGACAGCAGGTCGGCCGTGACCTTCACAGGTCAGTGCTCGGGTCAGCGCAGGGGCGCACTCAGGGTGGGCGGAGAAGGGGGCAGCTCAGGGGCGTTGTCAAGGTGGTTGGGCTAGGGGAGCAGGGACGCACTCAGGGTGACTAAGCTGGTAGGAGGGACGCATATGTAAATTTAGGCGGTTTTACATCCACATGGCAGTCAGGGGCACGGTTTATTATTGCGCCTTTTCCTCATCGTCATTCTGTGTTTTCGTACGTTTTATCGTGTTTCAGCTGGGTTGATGCTGGTGAATAGGGACTTTATCCTGGTTGTTGCCAAATCAATCCACACCGGAAAATTTGGTGTGATTACAGTTATAAAACAGGAGTGACACGAACACTGCTCAGATAGCTTGTTTCTGGTCTATTTGTGTTGTCGTTTCTTCGGGCTATTCTGCTTGTGTCGTCCCATATTGTGTCGTTCTTGGTGCTTTTTTGTACAGCTGTTCGACGCCATGTATCACTGTGTGAGGCCATTAGCGTCACTCCATGACGTCATATTGTGTGGTCGTCGCAGGCTGCGCAGTCTGGGCTCGGAGTTTCGGTTCAGCTGAGCAGTGTGTGGGCGGGGCCAGAGTCGACCGGCCTTTACTGGTCAGAGGCCGGGATGAAGGGAGAGGGAGAGGGAAGGGAGGGTGTGTGTGTGGTATTGGTTTTCCCGTATGAACGGGCTCGGCCGGAGGGAAATGGGTTTTGTTTTGAATTTGGTTTTGACTGACCTTTGTGTGGTTTTGGGTTTTTATTGGTTGGTTTTGACTTTTGGGTGTTGAGGCTTTTATCGAATAGGAATCGGGTTTGATTTCAGTGTGGTCTTGGTTTTTGAGTTCGGCTGATAGGGTTTAATGGTTAAGGATGTTTCGCCTTGTAATGTGTGTTCTTTGTACCTATTCACTTTTAGTGTCAAATCATTACATTCTGTTGAGCTACACTCTCGTTCTATCTCCCATTTATCACCTCGCTACATCTATCTACATATCTACCCATTTAGTGTCAACATCTTCTGAAGCGCGGAGCTTTGCATGATTACCGTGCTTACAGTGTAAGCGCAGGGAGTCGCTCGAAGTTTAAAGTGTCGCTGTCAGCGAGTGGACCTGTGGAGTGTGAATTTACGAATGTTTCACTGTCTCGGAATCCTGTGTGTTGTGTCTGCGTCTGTGTGTTTGCTGTGCCTTTGGTGTGCTATGCGTGACGCGTGTGCACTGAAGCCAATGGGTACATTTTTGGATTGTTATAATTCTTCGGTGGAGGACCAGCAACAGTGCCAATGACCAATGATCCATAAACTCGCTATATGCGCCCGTCGAGTGGAAATGTGGAAACGCTGTTATAATTCGCCTCATTGCCTTATTTTTCTGACTGTCGTCCGTTTTTTCTCTCGCAGGGTTAAACCCAGGAAGGTGGTCACCAAAATTCCGACCCAGGTTCAGCGTTAAACGCAGGTCTCTGTCAGCTGGCATCGCTATCTGTCCGGATACAAGCCGCCGCTGCCATGGCAACCACGCCCCGCGTCGCTCACCGCTGCGTCGCCATGTCAACCGCTGCGTCACCGCCTGTCACCGTAACAGGTTACGGTTGCCATGGTTACCTCTGTTCACCGCAGACGCCGTATGTGTTGCCATGACTACCACCGCTGTAGTATGTGCTCGCCTCATAGTTGACAAACTCTACCTTCGATAGTGCCTGTGATTCTCGCTTTAGAAGTACGCTCTTTCAGTTCATTGCTTGGACGATCACAGCACCTTTATTCGTACCAGTGAGTGTGTGTTTCAAATGCGTGACACGCGGCTAGTGCAGTGCTTCTCGCTGGGAAAGCCATCTTGGCTTATCAGCTGCGAGGAAAGTCTATGACGGAGTGTCAGCAAGAATGGTGAAGAGAATCTCTGAAAAGTGCTCCGGTCGGGGCTAAGTGCTGGACCCACTTGTGTGCTGGGTGGTGCGGATGATAGTTGAAATGGTTTAGAGTGTGCTGGGATTGACAGGAGGGTTTTCTCTAGTGGTCGGTGTTGGCAGTGATGACAGCGATGGCAGTGGCAGTGGTGACAGTGGCAGTGGCAGCGATGGCAGCGGCAGATGCGGTGACAATGGTTTAGGTTATTAAAATTGAAAGAGTGGGGAGTTAGAGTGTTAGAGTGGACGGCAACGCGATGAAGAGTTGCAATGAAAGTGTTACATGTAGTTGAGTGACTGAGTGTTAAACTAAATGTGAGATAGTGTAAGAGTGTGAGAGGCAGAAGTAAGGTGTTGAGTTGTGGGTGAAAGAGAGTGAACGAGTGAGTATGTAAGTGATTGCGTGCGTGAATGAATAAATGAATGAATGGGTGAATGAGTGAGTGAGTGAGCGAAAGGTTGAGAGAAAGTAGGAGATGGAGAGAGACGCTCCAGTCACTTGCTCTTTGTTCGTCCTTCATTTTGTGCTTACGTGCTCGCCGAACGCGTTTAAAACATCTTGAACATGTGTTCTCGCTCTGCTCGCGGGAGACGTGTGGTGATTACGCTGCGGCCCGGGCTATCGGAGTGAGCCCATTGGCGTTGTTGTTTGGTAAGGTCCGAAATATCTGAAGTTATTTTCCCGTTGTGCAGAATTACTTTGCGAGTGATGTCTGTTTTTGTGTTGGCGGTCGTCCGGTAACTTCTTCCTGAATCTGTCAGAGAAAATATTATATTTCCAGTCTTAAGCTGCGTGTTCCGTGATGAAGTGGAGATGGTTGTAAGGACTCATCCAAGAACAGTGAATTCACGCTAATTAGGGTTTCGGACGAGTCCATTCCGTGACAAAGGGGGGAGGTAGCTGCCAGCTGGAATGGACTCGTCCAAAAACCGGGTTCTGACGAATTTGAGTGTGGACGAGTCCATTCTAAAGGGAAGGTAGTTTGAATGGACTCGTCCAAAAACCGAGATTTGGCGAAAATTTGGGTTTGGACGAGTCCATTCCGTGACGAAGGGAAGGTAGTTGGAATGGACTCGTCCAAAAACCGAGATTTGGCGAAAATTTGGGTTTGGACGAGTCCATTCCGTGACATAGGGAAGGTAGTTGGAATGGACTCGTCCAAAACCCGAGATTCGACGCAAATTTGGGTTTGGGCGAGTCCATTCCGTGACAAAGGGAAGGTAGTTGGAATGGACTCGTCCAAAATCCGAGATTTGACGCAAATATGGGTTTGGGCGAGTCCATTCCGCAATAAAGGGGAAGTAGTTTGAATAGACTCGTCCAAAAACCGGACTTTAGGCCTGGTCGGAATCGGCTGACAGAACTTTGTCAGCCGAGAATAAGCCCCGCCCACACCACGCTGCTGATGGGCTTGTTCATAATCGGCTGACAGGAAACGTCAGCCCAGATGGCGCTGAGATGCTAAGATGGCGCTCGACAGTAGGGTTGAGAGTTGAGACTTGAGGAGAGGTAGCACTTTCGCGCTTTTTTTCAACGACTATCTTCCGTTAGTCGTTACATTATATTTCTGAGGTTTATTTGCCGAGGCTATAGAAAAAAATTACAGGATTGATAATTGAGGCGGTGCTGGCATTTCGATTTGTAGGTACTGTTTTCAGGCTGACTCGCACATTGCGCCATGAAAAAGAAATAATTGCTATCCTTCGCGAAAAATATTTAATACAAAATACGTCAAAAACATCGTATATAAGAACTAACCACCTGCACTATAAAGCTGCGCTTTGACTTACATGCGCCACTTTCGAGCCACTTTGAATTTCGGCTGACGTGCTGCTGCCTTCTCCCAGCAGCCGAAAAGCCGGCTGTCAGCAGAGGTATGACGTCACAGCGCGGGAAGGCGTGATACGTCATCAATATCTCAACCAATCAGGGGCTTGGATCTCAGCTGACAACAGCACAGCAGCCGATTCCGACCAGGCCTTTTGACGCGAATTTGGGTTTGGACGAGTCCATACCGCGATAAAGGGGAAGCAGTTAGACTGGACTCGTCCAAACAGGGACCGGATGGCGGGGCTTCCAGTTTGGGCGAGTCCATTCTTCCGATTTATACTATTTCACTTACTCTGCGTCAATAGTTCGTTTTATAAGTGTGATAATGAAAGTTATGTAACTGCACATACTCTGAGCAACAAGGTCTGTATTTCCGCTCACTAAGTAACAAAATACATCAGGAAAACCTTCCCTGGACAGTCTTACGGGCATTGTACAGCTTACAGCACGATGATTTTTGACAAGCTTCGAGACAGCTTCGACTCGACAAAATAGCGAGAGAAAGCTATAACCATAGGAAATCGAACGAGTAAGTGAAAACGCGATACAGCTTCATACAAAAATCCATACCAGTAGTCAATAGCAAACGAAGTGCGTACCATGGGCCATGGGCCAATAGATGGATAGCCAAAAACACCGAGGGAAACGTTCGACAAATTGCCAGTTCCCTTACAGCTGTTGGAGCAGGCCTAAGAGAAAACGGACAGAGAAGACAGCTTATTTCGTGAGTTCCTAACGTCTACTGCAGATCGGTCCTCACCTTTCGTTTTCACACAAGAATAAACCACTTAAGCACCAGTGCCCCTCAACGTTCCAGAGACAACACACTGCACTGGGAAACACCATGAGACACCAATTCTGCACCGCATCTTTTATGCCTCCTCATGTCAGGACTTTAACGATGACCTAACTGGCAAGCTCGTCTTGACTTACGCAACTCCAATCCCTTCCCCCGAAACAGCAAATAGCGACGCGTCATAACAAGGACATGCCAGGGGAGATGACAGTACATATGGCAGCTGCATCACAGCAACAGATTTCACGAAAATCCAACTTGAGTTACAAACACTAATAGGCCCTTCCGACGAAACGGATAGAGGGCCAGAGAGGTCGAGAAACGGGAATGAAAGTCGGCTTGAAATAGAGCCATCGGCAACCCGCCGGGCTCGGTGACTGACGGTGGCGACATCTGTACCTGAAAGGTGGCGCCATCTGCCGTATCAACGGTAGCGCCATCTGTGCGAAGCCGAGTTACACAGCGGGCGGCGCAAGCTGCTGGAGGTCGCGCGCCAGCCCCGGTGGCGCCATCTGGAGCGGAGTACGCTCCGCCTTGTTCTGCAGGTCCACCCGCGCGCCGGACTGCACCAGAAGGCGCGCCACCTCCGCCTGCGGACATCGAAAAACCGGTAACAGCCAGACGGACGGTACTTTTTAACGGACAGTGTTCAAGTCGCGCTTAGATCTGAGATGTAGTTGCATGGAAAAAATGTTTAGATGTGAGATCCCTGAGCTAAATAACCTCCACTTTAGTATAATTACCAAAATACTCTACTAAACATTGAGGCTCATTTACTTCCCAGTTTTACTACTGAGTCACTCTCATTCCCATTGTAGTATCTTTTTCTCCTTAGAATCGCGGCTAAGTCACTTCTCAAGCACCTGAAGCAATCACCTCATACATAACCCCTTCCCACGTTTCACTCCCGTCTGTAGTCCGTACCTGTTGATCCTCGCAGGCCAGGTGTAGCGGCGTGTTGCCGGTCCTGTCGGCAGCGTTCACATCCAGCTGGTTGCTGTACTGTAGCAGCAGGTTCACACAGTCCACGTTACCACGTGAGGCGGCCCGGTGTAGCGCAGTGCTACCGTACTTGTCTGCTGAGTTGAGATCGGCGTGGCTGCGGAGCAGAGCGTCCAGAATCTGACGAGAGGGAGGGTGGGGTGTTATAGGGGTGTGGACGCAGCTGGGGGTTAGGAGATATAAGGAATATAAGAGCGTCGAGGAGAAAAAGAAAATATGAAATAGGGAAGAGGAGGGAGCGAGGGAGGTAGGGGAAAGGGACAAGGAGAGAGAAGACAAAGAGTACATGGAGAGCTGGTCGGCCTGTCCTTTCCGGCGGGCTCGGTCACTCTCAGTCACCCTGTCGAAATGCTTGTCCAGTGCTATTATGACCAATAATTCTGACCAGAATATGCTATTACGCTATACCTACGTTATAACAGCTAGAGCACTGAAAAAATGAAAAAAAGAAGGTACGGATGACACTACAAACAAGCGCCACCTTGAACTAAGTAAGTGTTATCGCTGTCCGTGTCTCTGAGTCTGAACCCACCTCCTTGTGGTTTTTGGACGCCGCGTACATGATGGCCGACTGTCCGGTGTGCGTTACGTGGTTGACATTGGCACCGCGCGCGATCAGCAGGCGAACGATGGCGGCCCGCCCGGCCGAGGCGCCGATCAGCAGCGGCGTCCAGCCCGACTGCGGGGGTAGAAAGAGCGTCAGGGGTTAGTGCCTCGGTACAGGTCAATAGCAGAGGTCAGTGCCCGACTGCGGGGGTAGAAAGAGCGTCAGAGGTTAGCGCCTCGGTACAGGCCAATGGCAGAGGTCAGTGCCCGACTGCGGGGGTAGAAGACAGAGGTGAGAGGTTAGTGCCTCGGTACAGGCCAATGGCAGAGGTCAGTGCCCGACTGCGGGGGTAGAAACAGCGTCAGAGGTTAGTGCCTCGGTACAGGCCAATGGCAGAGGTCAGTGCCCGACTGCGGGGGTAGAAAGAGCGTCAGAGGTTAGTGCCTCGGTACCGGTCAATGGCAGAGGTCAGTGCCCGACTGAAGGGACTGAAGGGGTAGAAAGAGCGTCAGAGGTTAGTGCCTCGGTACAGGTCAATAGCAGAGGTCAGTGCCCGACTGCGGGGGTAGAAAGAGCGTCAGAGGTTAGGGCCTCGGTACAGGTCAATAGCAGAGGTCAGTGCCCTACTGCGGGGGTAGAAGTCAGAGGTGAGAGGTTAGTGCCTCGGTACAGGCCAATGGCAGAGGTCAGTGCCCGACTGCGGGGGTAGAAACAGCGTCAGAGGTTAGCGCCTCGGTACCGGTCAATGGCAGAGGTCAGTGCCCGACTGAAGGGACTGAAGGGGTAGAAAGAGCGTCAGAGGTTAGTGCCTCGGTACAGGTCAATAGCAGAGGTCAGTGCCCGACTGCGGGGGTAGAAAGAGCGTCAGAGGTTAGCGCCTCGGTACAGGTCAATGGCAGAGGTCAGTGCCCGACTGCGGGGGGAGATGACAGAGGTGAGAGGTTAGTGCCTCGGTACAGGTCATGGGTTACATGTCAAGGTCAGAGGTCAGTGTCATTGGCCGACTGCGGGGTACAGAGGAGGTGTCAGAGGTTGGTGTCGGCAGTGGTGGATAATTGTGCCGAGTTGGGGTAGCAAGAGCTTTCCCAATTCCACGCCGGCTTGGCTTTGGAGCCGCAACAGACGGCGGAGGTCAAGGTTACCGCTAGGCGCTAGGGCGGCGGCGGATTTGCTGCGCGGGTACAACTTTAGCTCGGCAAATTATCCACCCCTGGTCATCATTCATGGCTTATAGTCACCACATCAGTCACACCAAAACATGCAAACAAAACAAGCAAAACCAAAACATATCACGGCAAAACATGATAACAGCAGATCAGCGAGGAAACTAGAGCATCGGTCCAATTACATACATTATTCAAAACTCATCTGCCTTCTTGTTCGTTTATAAGGGTTTTACAGCGCGTCGACTACGGTGGTTATTTTTCACTCAGCCTTCTTCCCATCCTGTTTCCCCATCCATTTTCTCCTACACTAAAATTACCTTCTACGGTCTACCCCTCCTCCCACACCTTCCCTCCATCTTTTCCCAACACGTCCATTCACGGTCCACCGACCACCCCCAGGCCACTCCCTATACCATCTGTCCACTCACATCATCCACGGGGTCCAC